AAAAGGCTTACTGTCCAGGCCACACATGTTTCCCTCGTCTGAGTGGTTACTAAGAAGGTCATCTACATACTGCAATAGCCTTCTTTCTGCCTGTGGAGTTTCCCAGGACTCTAGATCTTTTGCGAGTTTTTCTCCAAACAGAGGAGGGGAATTTTGAAGCTTTGAAGGCCTTGAGGCAACACAATCTATGTGAGCTGGGTTTTGCACCTGCTTTTAGTGCTTTCCCATTCGAATGCAAAAATTTTCTGGCTGGCTTCATGGATAGGGAGGCAAAACAAGGGTTCTTTCAGATCTAAAATGGTAAACCAGGTTAGTTCAGGTACCAAACATGTTAGTAAGGTGTATGGGTTTGCTACCACTGGGTGCAGATTAGGCTTTTACTGCCTGACCCTATCTGGTTTTTTTCCTTAACTTGCACAGGAGGTCTTCTCTGCCCTCTCTGGTATGTTAGAGGCCCATACCCCAGGAAACACCGGATCCATTATTTTCTTGTTAATTTTATTCTTATTTTCAATTTCAGTTTCACTAATTGTTAAAATTAAGGCTAGTACGTCTACATATTGTTGATCCTTTACTAAAATAATCTCTTTATCTTTAAATGTGATCTTTGCTTCCAGCTGCTCTAATAAGTCTTTACTCAACAGGGCCTTTGCAGAGTTGGGCATATATAAAGCCTATGAATATTTTGATGGTTTGCAAAATATACTTTTTCAGATTGGCCAGTTGCCCCCTTACCATAACATAATCAGCTGTTATAGGCATCAAGGCTTTATTTAACACTGAGTGTGTTGCCCCCGTGTCTACTAAAAACTCTATTTTCTTAGTTCCTATCTTTCTACTCCATCCCAACTCTTTGCTTTAATTCAAAGTCTTGGGGTATAAAATAGGCTGAGCACACTCAACTTTAATTATTTTTGCTGGGTTTCTTAAATTATTTGAAACTCTCTTTTCTAATAATTTAAACACCCTGTTACTTCTTTGCTTCTCGTGACTGGCTGTTACTAAGATCCTTATAGTTGTCTAAGTAGCCTTTGTTTCCTTAGAATAACACAAATGCCAAAGTGCCTGTCTTGGTCTCTTCCACTTAAACTCTGCTTTATGAAATCTTAGTCTTTTCTAGTTTTCTTCCCACATAATCTAATTAAAGCATTGTTTACACTGACACTCACTTTGCAGCCTTGCAAAGGTTGTGCCTGTTACAGTAAAAACTGATATGCCCACAAACATAGACTCTTCTTCTCACCCCTTCCCTGTATCTCAAATTCACGAGTCAGGGCTTGAATTGCTGTGGGAGGGGAATTCCTGGAATTCCTTTAATTTGTTTTACCACAGTTAAACATAAATCAGTATACTGTAGTTCTTCTGTGTAAAATGCTACACTTGTTGCAAACAAAATCCTAAAATCTCCACAAACACAACCATGCAATCCCAAGAATCAAATTACCACAATGTGGGGGAAGAATCACACAAACTCCCTGGGAAAGGGGATATCTCTCAAAGTGCCCACTTTCCTCAACACAACACAGCATACAATACTTCAGCATTTACCCACATCAGCTTTCTCTGGTCCTCACACACTCTGGACACAATCAAAATAACAGTACACAGTAAAATTCTAGGACTCAAGTCCAAACTACTGGGGCAGAGGATTTTGTCTAGCCACAGTTAAAATGTGCAAAATCTTCACAAATCACCACCTTTGAACACAATAAATGTCCTCACCCACATTTCTCCACTTGTTCCACTTCTCCCTGCTCCCACAGCCTGCCCTAGCCAGCACCTCAGGCCTCACTTGGCTGCTTCAGATGCAGGTAGAACTTCTCCCCCGCACACCGTGGGTACACTCACTCGCTCGATCTGTTTTATACACCATGCACTCACACAATTACAAACACATGTCCAGACACCACAAGCACACAAAGTTTGGTTTCACTCGACTCACCCCCAGAGTCGCTAGCGGCCGCTCTATCAAACAATGAACCCATTCCCCAAGTCGCTCTATCAATCGGGGACGTCTGCTGCTGACTGTGCTCTCGGTCGATGGCTGCCTGCAAGCACAGGGATGAGGCTGTGCACTCAGACATCTCTGAGTGACTTATTAGCAGTCCTATCTCTTTCTCCCCCAGGGCCCTCCTTTGATATACATACCGTTTGTACGCACACCAGCAGGTCGTTGTCTGTCCTCACAGGAGGCAAACCCAGATGGAGAGGAGCTCCTCCAGGGAAAATCCCGGGGCGCACCTCAGAGGTCCATCCTCCCCTCTGCCCCTGTGAGGACAGAGATGGTCTCCAGGCTGGCCTTGCCAAAATTATTTGAGGAAGGAAAAAAAACTCCACAACTTTGTAAAAGTTGTGAAAGTGGTATGTTTTTTACAGTGCTGGATGCATGTGGGGATTATTCTCCGTAAAGGACATGTCCCCCCCCAAGAATTCACGATCCTTTTTTTATCTCTCTTACTGATACATATGCATAGAATTGAATTTTACATTAAGTTCATACACGTTCATTTTACTGGTTTCCCGTTACACTTGCAGCTAGTTTTTTTATCAGAAAGTACAGAAAGAATTCCTGGGTCATCTTGCCCTGTCTTCTGCAGCTTCAGCTTTTGTTTTCATCTGTTTCAAAGTTCAAGGGGTCCTTCTTATCTCCCTTTAGATGAGGCAATTTTTAAAACAGCACATTTCACCTAAATCCGAATTGGATTTCCACCCTGGTAAATTTCTACTCTGTTTAATTGGCACTTGCCAGATGATCCTGCCAGTGACACCTGCTATGTATAGGGAGGATGTAACAGGGTCTGCTTTTTGGTTTGCTTCTGGTTCCCGGTGTACTGTGAATGCCCAGGATGAAAACAGGTAGAGAAGGCAGTGTGAAGGTGAGATATTTAATTACTCCTAAATATTATTGCTGAAAAAATGAAATAAGAATTAGTTTATATGCAGAAAAGTTAAACAGATGCTGCCAGCACAAGCAATGCATGTCCCAAAATACAGGTCATATAAGTAACCTCTGTTAGAATAGACAAAGCACTGACAAAATTGGTTTTATTTTTTAACTTTTAAAGTTGTTTGTATTGCTCAACCAAGAATCTACACCTGCTAGCTAGGCATTTTCCCTCTTGCTTGAGTGGATATTTTTAACAGGCTAACTGTGCAATGAACAAATTAATAGAAAAAAAAGAGAAAGATGCTGTTCAGTATGTTTTCTGTATTGTAAGTACCGAAGGGACCATTTTATTCCTTAGTCTGATCACTTGCCCAAGGTTGGCCATGTAGTTGCATCCAGTTGATTGACATTGTCACATTTGCTTGGCTGAAGCATTTTCCATCAGAGAGACATCTGATTTTATTGGAAGATTCTGAGTTTGGTGGTATGATGAATAATCAAAGCAGAATGGTTAAGGAATACCGGGGAACTGTACCTCATTTCTGACCTGAATTATTCTGCCTTTAATTTCCAGCATTAGCTCTTGCTCTGCTTTTACTCTTCCATTTCAAATAACCTTTTGTAACTGATATTTTCTCTTCATTCAAGATATTTCCCAAGCCCATGTATTACTTTAGTTTTTTTCTGTATTCTCTCTAACACCTCTTTGAAACATGACTGCCAGTGCTGCCTGCAGTCCTGTAGTTCAGCCTCAGATGTGCATGATGTCTCTAGAGGAAAGATACCTTCATCCCCCTAATCCCTATATCCTCATCCCCTGCCTTTATGCCGCAGTCTGGCATCAGACATTCAACCTGTGACAGTCTCCAACCTTTTCAGATAACCTTTTCCTACAATATGGTTGCACATTCTGTACCTGCAACTGATATTACTTGTCCACAGATGTTTTACTTGATTTTTCTCATATATATATATATATTTTTTTTTTTTTCCCTTTGTAAATTAAAGTCCCTATTTCATCTATGAGGGAAAGTCAGTTGTTAAACACCTCTGATTTCCCATAAATCATAGAATCACAGAATGGTTTGGGTTGGAAGGGACCTTCAAGACCATCTTGTTCCAACCCCCCTGTTATGGGCAGGGACACCCTCCACTAGATCAGGTTGCAGTTAGGATGCTAATTAAATTAATTGTTTCCCTTCAGCTTGATGCCTTTTGGGCCTAGTACTTCAGCACATGCCATTTTTCTGGATTTTTCCCCCCATTTGCTGTAATTCCACTAAAATATGCTGTGCTCTGACTTCCAGGCACTGATTACCTGGGTCTGTTGCTATCAAAGTTTCTGTTTAATATATGTTATTTAACAAGATCTTGTCATTGATCAAAAAATGCATTATCATTCTTGCATAATAAAAAAAAGATCATCTCAATTGTTTATAAATGTGGAAGGATGATATTTTATTGGCCATTTTTTCTTCTTCAGTATCATTACAAACTCTCTGCATCCAGTTAGTAATTATCTTTGAATTGTCTTAGTTACTTTCTTGATACAAGAAAGTCCTTTAGCTGCCAGGCTTCTCACCCCAATTTTTTGACTTACAAATTGTATGTTTGTATTTTTACTGATTGCTGTTTGCTGTCTGAGATGTATGCTTGTGCTTGTTTACCAACACCTTTTTCAGCCATGGAACTCGATCAGCAAATGAGAAGTGCTTCAAACATTTTTATTATTTTTGTGTCTTTTTTTTTTTTTTGGTCTGCGTGGGCTGTGCTTTCGGTTTTCCTTCAACTGGGAATTGAATCACCCAACACTACTGCTCAGGATTGCCTTTGGCTTTGGTTTTCTCACTCCTGCTATTACCAAAAGCATTTGAACGCTGTAGCAGATGGTGCAGGTCCAGGACTGAGAAAAGCATTTAATTTTGTATTAACAGCTTTGTGCCTTCGTGGGAGTGTTTTGAAGGCACAGCATACTCACTTCCGAGACTGTCTTTGTTTTCATGAGAGCCCTTCGCAGTAAGAAGTAATCTTCCCCATGTGCTATAATAATAGAAAATTAACTTTGGCTCCAGTGAGGTTTCATGTGGTTTTGTTTGTTTTCTTCTTGCCACAGGCTTGGAAAAGGGAAATTCGAGGATGGTGATAGCATCAACTTAAACGACATAGAGAAAGTCCTTCCAGTGTGGCAGGTAGGTGATGAGGGTATCTCCTGCCCATGCTATGGTGGAGACCAGCAGCTCCTTCCCTATCCTTACAAAACTCTCCACAGAAGTGGGAAAACTGCTGGATTGGATGTGCTGAGCTATGGTCCTTTGGGGTTTATGATGGAGAATTATGCCTGTGATTTTGGCAAGCCTTGCAATGACCCTTAATGCTGGGTGAGGGCAGTTATCATGTAGATTTCATTGGGAGGTGAAATGTTGAGGACAGTTGTTCTGGTTTAGGGCAAATTTGGGAGAAAACTTCCAAAAGCAGCCCCCCAGAAAGCCAACCCATGCATTCCCTCCCCCCACCTGGTTCGGGAAATAATTTCCTCATAGAGAAGTGGAAAGAACCTGTTTATTTAACAGGCCAAGCACTCCCCAGCACACAAAATGAACAATACTGGATGACAAAACACATTCACTGCTCTGAAAAGATGACAAATTCAGGAAGTTTCTCCAGTGGGTGGTTGCTCTGTTATCAGTCCCTCCGGTGCTGGGAAAGGCTGCAGAGTAGGCCCCAGCAGGCTACGAAGTGCAAGCTCTCGGTGTTTCCCTGTGTCCTGGTCTGGAGCTGGTTCGAATGGTTCCAAGAAAAGGGAAAGTAAAACAGTCCCGGGAAAGCTCGGACTGCCTCAGCTAGCTAAACTAACTAACCAACTAAAAAGCAAAAGGAGCATGGTGTTCTGCCCCGTCCGCGCCCAGACAACAACAGTGTTCCAGCAGACTGTGGAGGAGCGAGTCTCGTTCTTGATAACAAAACTCCGTGTTTCTTCTTCTCCCCGCCTGTACTCTCAGCCAGTCTTGAAGGCACAGAATATAATGTCCAGCATAAACAGAACACATGATTTGGGATAAAAGCATCATAACATCACCCTAGGACAACAGTATATATATATACACATACATATATATAGGTATATGTACACAAAGCTCATATATTTTAGGAAAGGCGATTCTGAAAAGCATCAACCCTCCTGACAGCTTCAAAATAAATTGCTGCCAGGAAGCCAGCAGTGATGGTGTGCTGACCCAGCTGTTTCCCCTTTGCGGTGTATATATGTTTAAATGCAGTGGTCATCCACTTGCTTGTTTTCTCCAGCCTGTTCCTTCTCCAGATCTCTCTATTCAGCCCAGTTTTAGTAGTTCTGGTTAAATGACCTTTAATGTTTGGATGTTGGGAAATAGCAGGATGAGACCCTCAGTTCTAAAGTCTAATTGAATAAGTCAATTTGTCAGCATCATATAATTTTTCACTTTCCAGAGCCCAAGTCCTCAATGAATCTGAGTGTCCTGGGCTGGGCAAGCTTCTGAGGATGCTCAGTATGTTTTTGCTGAAGTCTCCTCTGCCTTCAGAGGGAAGGGTGGAGACATCTCATGTGCTTTGGTAGTGTTACCCTTTTCAGTGATGAGCAAAAAGCTCATTGGGCTTTTTGCTCATGCATCATGTGAGGAAAAGCTTTGCTCATCCTGAAAAACATGGGATGATCTGCCTTATTGTTTCTTTTGGGTGAGCTAGCTGGCACTAAATACACAAATCAGTGGAAGGAGTGGAGAAGTGATGCTAACTTTGCCAGGAAGACTGCAGCTACTTCCTGCTCAGTCTCTTCCATGATTGATATGACTGGACTTTAGGTCACAGGAAGAAAACATCAGGTTCAGCTTCTACAGACCCCAGAAATTCTGCAAAATAAGGTGATTTTCCCCAAGGAATAATTGGAAATGAGAAATCAAACCATCTTTGGTGCAAGGAACTGATTTTCTTCTCTAGGGTTTAACTTTCAGTCAACAACTATTAAATAAACCAGATCCTCCTGGTCTATTTTTCATCTGATCATGTCCTAACACAAAGTTGTCATCCTGTCCTAACACCAGGTTGAGTCCATTGACTCCAGTGAATTAATTCCAACATATACATTGATATCTAGATTAATTGCTAGTGTGGCATCTCTAAGATGGAAAACCTAGCAGAAATGCTGGATTTAGTGTTTTGTTTGTGCCTCTGGGCAGATTCATGCAATGCTGTATTATTTTGGAGACATGCTTACCTAGGCATATATAGTCATATGTGCATGTGGGAACTGGGAGCTGGGTAGTTCTGTGTAAAGATTTATCTTGTTTGGCATTGACAAGTGAAATACTTGCAGACAGCTGGTTTAATCCTGACATATCATTAACTGGATTTGAATGTAATTGTGCAATGACAACAGTGATTTTGTTGGCCTTTATTCCTTGTTTCAAATGGGTCTGTGGAGCAGTGTGTGGGAGCATAAAGGAAAATATTTGAGTGAACCTATGGAAGAAAAATCCACCTTCTATGGGGCTATCCCACACTGTGGTTATCTTTGTGTCATATCCTGAAGAAGAGGTTTTTCAGGTTGGAGATATATAAACTTCTGTTCTCTGTTTAAGAACTCAGGGGTTGATTACAGCATCTGTACATGGATGGAGGGGCCAATCTGAGCATCCTCCAACGCCACTGGGGTGGTCAGAGCACCCTCCAAGCACCACTGCGGTGGTCCTAGCATGCTCCAGTGTGACTGGGCCAATCCAAGTATCCTTCAAGATGACTCAGATGAAAATGTTTTGCTGCTGAATGTGCTTCAGCAGCTATAGCAGGGTTAAGAATATAATGTTTGAGAGATATAGTGTCTTACTTGCAGGCTGCTTTGGAAATTTGTGTTCCTTTAATGATAAGGTATAATAGGACATGAATCTAGAACTAATTTGTAGTGTACATCCAGATCTGTATGTGTATCTCTACAGAGAGATACAGTGACACCTCTAACATTTTAAGCAGAATATTCTGGATATCTGTGTGTTAATATATATACATGAGTTTTGCTGCTGAAACCCATCAATATTATTTTAACAAAATATTTCAAGGAAAGCCTATAACTATTTGGCAATTAAAAGGTGAAAAATAAACAAAGCCCAAAACAACTACCCCTAAAATCCTCTTCTTTTGTTTGGAAATTTGAGAATGGGTTCATCTACTCCTCAGAGATGCTCTTGCACCGTGGCACACTGCCATCTTGTGGACATTCACAGGCAGGCAAATCTGTCTCTGCTTTGGCAGTGGGCGAATTCCTTCACCATAACTAGTATTTTGAAGCTTTCTCTTGCCCCATCTTTTCAAAGCTCATCTGAGGTGCTTGTTCTTACTGTTAAATAGGCTTTGTTTTGAAAACTTCATGGCTAGGAGCTCATGAGGTCATTGCTTTGTCTCAACTTGTTAGCTGTAACCTTTTCATCTCTCCTTACTCATAAGTCTGTAGCTGGATTTGGGCAGTAATTCACCTAAGTCCTGACAAAAAACAACTTTGGAAGAAAATAATCTTTTGAAGACAAATGTTCCCCATACATAAGATCTTTTTATTGCACCCTAGGGAGGATCAGTTATCTGCTGCATTTGAGACATGCAGCTCAGATGCAGAATGGGTCTTCATCACCTTCTCCATTTTTATCTCAGCTGGTTTGTTGGAGAAGACCACTTAACAATCTTGGCATCATGAAGACATCACAGTGAGGGCTGAGTCAGTGCATTTTTCTTTTGCTCCCTTTGGCAAATGCTTGGAAAGACTTTCATTCTTGGATGTGTCACAGCCAAATGTCCTGGTCCTAGATAGAGTCTTCAGACTGCGAGTCCTTGGCAAAGTCTACACTTACCAGAGAAAACAACCCAGGGGGCCATCTCCTACAAAATACTCTTTTGCCTCCCTGTGAAGCTACTGTAGCTCACAAAGGATAAAGGAGGCTGCATGTCATGGGGACATGCTGTAAATGCTGCTAGAAAATGAGCAGAGAGTTTTGGGACATGTCTCAAGTGGTTTGTAGACTGGCATCTTGCGTTTTTTGGCTTTCAGTTTGTTTGACTCACCTCCAGGGTGGGCTTGCCCTCCTCTGAACGGTGCGGTTGTGCCTTTGCTGGCCAGCTGCTCCTTGTCTTGTGTTACATGGCGTTTTTCAAATGCTGGGCTTTACTGGTGCTATGGTGTGGTGGTTTTGCATGGGAGGTAAAGCTTCCGACACACTTCTGTGAAAATCACATTAAAGACAAAAGAAACCCAGGAACTTTCTTTTCCAGTCGGCAAAGAGGTAATGGGCTGGGTGGCCCCTGCTGCAGGGCTGGGCCCCTTTCCCCGGGGTACCCGCCAGCTCCTCACCAGCTCCCCATCGGCTGCAGGGCAGGGGAGGGAAGGCTGCACAGCTGAGGCCAGGCCAGGCCATGGCTGTGATTTCTAACATCTTACTGCTACTCAGCCCTGCCCTACCGCCAGCCTGGGTTGAGCCGGGTCTACTGGGCCCTAAGAACAGCCCCAGACAGAGATGGTTTGGCCAGGATTCTACTACCACTGACGTTTGCCTGCAACTACCAAGCAGGGGAGAGGAGAAGCCATGCCACCAACAACCACCCCCCCCCCCCCCCCCCCACCCTTCCCCCCTTTCCTGCAGCAGCTCTGGCCGCAAGCTAGTGAGCTCAGCTGGGGTCAGATGACCATCGGCAGGCTCTGGGCAAGTTATTAACTTTTTCAGTGCTTCAATTCTCCCTCGAGTGAGAGAAGGGAACAAAATGTAGCCAGTGTAGAGGAACAACATGAAAGACATCGAGGTCAGTAAAAAAGTCAAGTCCCAGATGGGAGGGATAAGGAGATGCCTTTATCTTGGGGCTGAAATCCTCTTGTAAAGCTGTGGAGAAAGATGTAATTGATACATCAGACTCTTTCCCTGTAACACATGAAAGCACAGGGAGATGAAGAGCTCAAACTGATGTCGAGCAAAGGCCTCCATACCGAAGAAAGCAGCTGTTAAAGTAGCTGTGATCCTATGATAAGTTAGAACAGAGAAGGAGAGAAGAGTGATAAAGATCCTGTGCCCCCGAAAGAAGATTATTTCAGAGACAGATAAAGAGAATCTTTGCCTTTGAACAGCTCATCTTTAAAACAATACCCCATAAGTTAACATGGCCCATAAACACAGCTGTAGGA